GACATTTTTTAGTTATAGCAGTCCATTTTAAGATGATAAAAACTTAACACAATTGCATGCAGAATTTTTGCACTTTATCCCCACCCCCCTTTATGTAATTGATGTCAGATTTTACTTCTTTTTATACAGTCATATCTTGGAGATGTTGCTGGTTTGGTTCCAGACCACCACAATAAAGTGAATATCGCAATAATGCAAATCACATGAATTTTTTTGTTTCCCAGTCCATGTAAAAGTTATGTTTACACTGTACTGCAGTCTATTAAGTTTGCAATGGCATTGTGTCTAAAAAAACAAGGTACATACCTTAATGAATTTATTGCTAAAAGATGCTAACCATTATCTAAGCCTTCAGCAAGTCAATCTTTTTGCTGGTGAGGGTCTTGTAAAAAATGCAGTATCTGTGAGGCATAATAAAATGAAGCACAATAAAATGAGGTGTGCTTATATTATGTTCCTATTAACAAATTTCTGTGGTTATAGTTATTCTTACTATTTTTGTCTTTTAATTTATATGCTAGTATTAAAAGTGATTGACATGCCACCATTACAGTATGCAGTTTTCTGTGTTTGTATTCATATTTATCTTTGGCAGTGAGATTTATATTTCATATAATTTCATGTTGTTGTTTACCATAGGTCTAGTGGTGATGAAGTCCTTCAGTTTTTGTTTGCCTGGGAAAGTCCTTATCTTTCCTTTATTCTTAAAGGATAGTTTGGCTGGGTAAAGCATTTTTGGTTGGCAGTTTCCTTATTTCAGTAGTTTGCATATATCATCTACTTTTCTCTTTGGTGATATCATTCTCAGTCTGACTCTCCCCACATATTGACAACGGTGGCCAGCAGAAGATCCAGGCATATGTTCTGCCAGTTTAGCAACTTAAAAAAAACTAACTCTTTTTTGATATTCAAAAAACATTTTGGCAATTAAGTCTAGTTAGCATGGCTTAGGTCGCTTGCTACTCTGAATGAATCACTGTGGCTAGGGGGACGTTCATTTTTCATTGACCTAATCTGTGTTTCATGCTTATCATTCCATCTAGAGAGAGTGGTCAGCCCTACCCAGAAAAATATCAGCTGAGAATGGGAGACAATTGGTGCCTTAAAATGAAAAGATTCATTCTTTTACCAGATGAGGGAATACTCGATAGCCCCAAACAGTATGTATATACCTTGAGGAGACTGAGAAAGAAGATAAGAAAGAGAGAGAAGAAAGAGAAAGCTAGAAGAAGAAGGGAGGAGGGAAGAGGAGAGAGAGAGAGAGAGAATACAGAGAGAGACAGAGACAAAGAGAGATAGAGAGATACTCATCATGAACAGCATCCGTCACACCCTCTATAGGACCAAGAGGCATAGCTGCATATAACTAGAGAGACTGCTGAAAAGATATTATATGAAAAGGTTTACATGGACATTCTCTGTTGTAAAAATGAGAATTCCACATTTGGCTTTACAAACACAATTCTCTCATTATAGTGTGTTCTGCAGCTTCATCTGTGAATACCAAAAACATATCTTTTCCCCAAATGTAGCTGTCACATGTCTTAAGCACTTTTATATTTTTATATTTATATTTTCCATGAGTGTGTGTGTCTACTCAGGACTTTTTTCACAACCTCTTTCACCTCCTTATTCTTCAGGCTATAGATGATGGGGTTCAACATTGGGGTTACCACTCCATAAGACAGCCCAGTGATCTCATCAGATGTCTTTGTGTCCCTTGACTTGGGCTTCCTGTACATAAAAAGGGTGGAACCATAAAATAAAATTACCACAGCAAGGTGGGCCGAACAGGTTGAATCGGCTTTCTTTCTCCCTTCAGTGGAGTTAAGTCTCAAGATGGTAGAGAGAATGAAAACATAGGAAATAAAAATTGACAGTAGGGGAATCACTAAGAAGAAAATACTTGCCACTGTTATGATAAACACAATGATCGTGATATCTGAACAGATGAGTTTAATAAGGGCCAGTAACTCACAGGTAAGATGGTCTATGACATTATTCCCACAAAAAGGCAACACCATTGTCAGGACTGTTTGCACTAAGGAGTTCAGACTGCCTATGATCCAGGACCATGCAGCCATGTGCACATACAGCACCCTGTTCATGATGGTGGGGTACCTCAGTGGGTTGCAGATGGCCGCATACCGATCACAGGCCATCACAGCCAGGAGGACATACTCGGTGGAGCCCAAACCAAGGGAGACAACCATCTGCAGAGCACAGCCAATGAACGAGATGGATTTTCTTCCAGAGCTAAATATGATGAGCATAGGGGGAATGGACGATGATGTGTAACAAATGTCCAGGAACGAGAGGTTCCCAAGGAAGAAGTACATGGGTGTGTGGAGGTGAGAATCTAGCATGCTGATGATAATGAGGAGGCTATTTCCCAGGAGGATTATCAGTTAGGTGATGAGGCAGAGCCCGAACAGAAAAAGCTGGAGCTCTGGGTATTGGGAAAATCCCGCCAGAAAGAATTCAGTCACGGCTGAGTAATTCTCCATTTCCATGTGTCCGTGTCACCTGCAGAGTTCACATAAGGACATGATTCAGAGAAATTTAAATTTATAATTTAGTTTAAAAAAATAACTTTAACTTGCATTATTTTGCTTGATATTTAGAACAGTTCTGGGAATCAGGAAAGGCGTGGTTATAATTTTAATTTTATTGATGATGAAACTGAAGCACTGAGAGATTCAGTACTTGGTGGGGCCATGCAGCAGCAGAGGCAAAGCTACCAATAACCCCAAGAATCATGCTGTGAAGTGTCAGGCCTCTAGTAAAATAATAGGGACAACATAATTCTAAATGTAGATATAGAGCAATCTCATTACTGAATATTCTGAAGTAAAAGCTTTTTTTTAATGAAGCTGGTTCTATTTTTTTTTTTTTGTGAGGAAGATCAGCCCTGAGCTAACATCCGTGCTAATCCTCCTCTTTTTTGCTGAGGAAGACTGGCTCTGAGCTAATATCTATTGCCAATCCTCCTCCTTTTTTTCCCCAAAGCCCCAGTAGATAGTTGTATGTCATAGTTGCACATCCTTCTAGTTGCTGTATGTGGGATGTGGCCTCAGCATGGCCAGAGAAGCGGTGCATTGGTGCATGCCCGGGATCTGAACCCAGGCTGCCAGTAGCGGAGCGTGTGCACGTAAAGGCTGGTTCTATTTTAAAAATAGTACATCATATACAATCAGCACCATACCACTTAGCATGTGTGTGACTTTGGATAAGTTACTTCACTTTCTGAGCCTCAGTTGGTTCATAGTAAAATGTGGGAAAGAAATAACTCTGACAATTTGTTGTGAGTATTAAACTGCATAAAATATGTGAGGTGCCTGTTATAATACAATGATTAATATATATATATATAATATAATGAAAACATTGTATCTATAATTATATTTTTATAATTATATTTTTGATGATAATTATTAGGTTTTGTGACTGGTCAGAAAGAAAAATTTATGTAGTGTGTTTAAGGTGATGGTACTAACTTTTGAGGTCATAGTGGACAGACTTTGAATATTTTCTCTTCTCAGATGGCCATCTATCTGTCCTTCTTTCAAAGACGAGTCGTGAATTAATCTGAAAATATTTGAGATTGATCCCAAGGAGCTTCCAGAGGCTAAGCAGCCTGGGTCTGCATTAAGTACAAGTTTTTTAGAACCTGGAACTTCCCCTCCTTTAGTATACGATACCTTCATAACACTAAATTCTGTAATTCTTCTCTTCTTTTTTTGGCACCAAACTCCTAGAATATTTTATATTTTTTCAGGAAGTTAATATAGTTTTACTGAGTACTTAATGATAATTATTTTTTTCTTTTAATCTTTATATATATAATACCTTGGAATGTATCTCTGGGTCTTCTATATTATTTTTATTTTATGGCAAGGAACCTTCTGATAATTAGTGCATAAAATGTGCTTATAACAGTGCCTGGCACAATGATTTTATGAATATTGGTAAGTATTAGTATGGCTGGACCAATGGTAGCTAGGTAATATTTATTGAGAACTAACTCTATGTTAAGCACTGTTATAAGCAATTTACCTTATTAACTCATTTAATATTCACTGCAACCCTATAAGTATTATATATAATAATAGTATGAGATACTATTACTATTCCCATTTTGCAGTGGAGCAAACTGCTACAGAGAAGTTAAAGTAGCTTGCACAAGGTCATATAGCTAGAACCAGGGTTTAGTAACTGGCAGTCTGGATCCAGAGTCAGCTCTCATAACACAACACCATAGTACCTATCACAGATCCTCCTCTTTACCCCTGAAAATACTACATGGCTCTTAGGTGTGTTGAAATTAACATTCCTGCCTTACTTGCTTTTTCCAGCCTACACTGATCTTTCTATAAGTTCCTATGATATGCAGTGTTAGTACCATATGAAAACTCAGCTAAGCCCTAACCGTTTCCTATTTCTCTGATATGATGCCCAAGTAAGACTGTAGATTTTTGATGCAGGCACTGTGCGTTATGCTTTGTTGCATTCCTGTGATAGATTATATTCATTGGACTAGGGCTGCAGAGTGAGAAAATTGCTCCCTTTTCCTGTCTTCAGTTCACAACCAACCATTTGCCCTGCCTTCCTGTTTCTGGAGAGCAGAAGGGCATGATTCCTTGGCTGGTCACATAGGGCAGCCCCCCTGTCTTCTCCATTACCTTTCTGTATTTTTTGTCTCCTTCTTAGTGAGTTATCACCTAGACAATGGTTTGGGAGAGATTAAAAAAGATGATGGTCCAGTATCTTAGTAACTTAGAAAAGATTCCCGTCTTCCTGCGCTTCCCTGCCTGTCTCGATTCGCATTTTCACATGGACTTGTTTCCTCAAAAGTGTGAGCTGAGGCAGTGCCGATTTATTTGAGCACAGCTGTTCTAAGTAGAAGGAGCAGGAGGAGGAAGAAAAGAGGTCAGAGAAGGACAGAAGGAGCCTACTTTTACTGTTACAAATGAGTACTACACTTCGTACTTATATTTTGGGAGAGTGGGTGTTGAGAAGAAAGGAAGAGTGGCTCTCCTTTTCTCTGCTCAAAAAAAGTCCCAGATGAGGGAGGCCATTTTCCCAATATCTAGGACAAATAAGAGAAAGTGGAAAGAGACACCTTATTAAAATTGAATTAGCCCATCATAAAAGGCCCAGTTTAACCTCCCCATCTTCTTTCATGTCTTTTCCATATTCCCCACTCCATGACTGTGTCAAGGGAGAAGTTACTGGGGGAGGGTTTGTTTCCCCATAATCTTCATCAGTCTTGCCTCAAAAGCCAGTCCAATACAACAGTATAATCTGAGATAAAACAGTATAGTTGCTATGTAATACGCCTTCAGGAAAAGGCCCCTGCAACCAGATTGTCACCCCTAAATATTACTAATATAGAAATTCTGGAGCCACTACTGACCCTTCTTCCTCGTGCTCTGCAATAGCCATGCTGAACTCCTCGCGTTGTACCCCGAACATTATACTATTTCTTTTTTCTGCTTTTGTGCAAGCTCTTATCTTAAACCGGAAAGGCCCCTCCCAGTCACTTATTACTTTTTTGCTAGGACACTTTCCTGAACTTTATGTTTGAGTATGATGCCTATTTTAAGTGCTTCCACGGAACTGTGCTTCTCTCTTTCATGGCGTCTTTCATTTATTCAGCACTTAGCACAGTAGATACTGTAGTATTACTAGAGATCCAATTGGGAGAAAGATAGATACTGATCCTCAAAATGGACTCTGGACACAAATTACTTAGGAAAGAGTTAGTTTGTACTTTCAAGAAACAATTTTTGTGCTACATAAAGAGTTTAATGTCCAAAAAATTATGGAACACTTTGCAGATTATTTTATCAAACTAAAATAACTTTTATACTCTAAATTGTCAAAGATAGAATAAGACTATGGTTCAATCTCATTTGAATATACATATATATAAATCACAAATATATTTAAACCAAATACAACTCTATATTAAAGTAATTTCATGAATGCAAGGCATTCCAAATTAATATTTAGAAATCCATCAATATGATGTATTAAACAAATAGGTAAATAGAAAAAAGCCCTATATGATCATCCGGATAGATATAAAAAGAAAACATTTGATGGAATTCAACATTATTGATAAAAACTCAGTAATTTAGACAGGGCCCAACTTGATTTTAAATGATGAAACTCTGAAGGTATTTCCCTAAAAGTCAAAGATTACTGTTGTTACCATCAACATCATTATTGTTTAATATTATTTTCTGAAATATCCAACCAATAGATAGTTGTAATTTTTTTTTCTTTAGGATGCTGAAAATCTGATATGTGGTGGTGAAACATGTTATAATATGTGATAAAACATACCTCTATTTGTTATACCACTGACAATTGTAATCTTGGAGAAGAGTTAAGGAGAAGGAAAAATGCTCATGATATAGTATTATGTGATAAGAGCAAGTTTCATGGCAAATGATCACAATTTTGTATATATGTAGCTGGAAGAAACTACACCAAAATATTCTGTGGTTTTCCTTGTATTGGGTTTTGAGGCATTTTAAATTTCCTTAATATTTTTTATATTTTCCAAATTTTCTTTAATAAATATATTTTTTGTTGTAAAAATAAGAAAAACATTTAAATTTTCCTTAATAGGGTACTTCCCTGGGACAAGGTTGACATTTGTATTCTTTTTAATGATTAGAAGATCACTAAAAAGGCCAAAAGGTCCAGGCGTTTGTTGGCTCCAGCTGTCTGTAAAATCCAAGAAGGGAAAAGAATAGTCAATGGATTGGAAATTGACTTGAGATTTTCTGTTGCTTTATTACGTAGGCTAGTTTATGCCATTTAATGTTTTGATTTCAATCAATAAATCTCACAAATATATCCACTCTGAGAAGACATACTGACACAGCCCAATTCTTGCAAAAGATTCTAGAGCCTGTCATTTAGAATGTGACAAAGCTTCGCAGTGCAGATAGGATGCACTGAAAAAGCAACAACAGTATCACACAGTAAAAAGAAAGACAGAGGAGATGCCTGGTAGAAAGATAAAACTGTGCGGAAACAGCAGGGGCTTCTGTTACCTTTGCTTCTTTCTCTTTTTCTAAAAGTAAAGTTCCAATTTCTTGTCTCCCTGAGCTTTGTCCATCTCTCCAAAGGCCCTGTCCTGAGATAATTTTTCACCATTGGGCACCACCTACGCAAGGAAATACTCTGAGACTCACGTTCATGTGCATCTACCTATCTTCCACCTGTATTTGCCAGCAGAAGTTTGTAAGGCATATAAATTCAGCTGGCATTTCATATTTTGTCTCAAGAGCCTCTTAAGTCAGGCTGTACCACAGCCATCCTAGAAAGCTTCCTCGGGAGAAAATTCCCAGCACCAAGTATGGCATTCTAATTCCAGAGTTACCTAGTTTCCCCTATTGTTTATAAAGCCACTTTGTTCTTCACAATATGAAACATCCCACACAGGAGATCCCCAGTGCTTGTCTGAATAAATAAACCCCTAGGAGCCCCAGAAGGA